AAGCCTTGAAATGAAAACAGTTGAGGTTACGACATGCATTCTATATAGGTCGACATTTTCGACAACGAGCGTCAGTGAAAAGTCGTTGGATAGCCAATGCAGGGGCGGAATCTTCTGGAATTGACCTAAATTTTTCTTCATGAAATCCATTCACAGCATCCGAATGCACTGCCGTTTTAGTTTACGCATTTATCTGCTGAGTTCAGCATTTTACCACATGTATGTACCTTAACTGCGGTTGTACGACGCAAAGACATCCGATCTGCTGCTGACTGAAATAAATAAGCTGCTGGGTTTCCATTCCGCTGCGAGAGGTATCTCCTTATCAGTAGTTGTGATTTATTTCGTAAAGCTGAAGTATAGCAGTGGAATGGTCTGCCTTACATGGGCGACATTCTATGGTCCAGACGATTGCGTAGGGCTTTTCCATCATATTGCATGATTATCGCTCAGATCTCTGGGCATCGTTACCGACTGATCTTCGTCCAAGTCAGGGAGAGACGTAATTAGTTCCTTTGGTTGCTGTAAGAATGCATGAGTGCTGTAAAGCAAGCGGGACGCTGATGTGCTTTTAGCGGATGTTATCGTCTGCGTAGTGAATCGAGGACACTTGGACACTTCTGGTTAATACAATACTCTTTTCTATCTTTCGATCACCCGTTCAAGTACAAATTTAAATGAACGAGAGTGAACGAAACTGTTCATAAAACAAGAGAGTTATGTTCTACTCCTCTCAACCTTATTAGCCATGCAAATTTTTCAGTTTAATGATAATCCTTGTTTACATAAACGCCTCTAGAGAACAGCATGAACATCCCTTTCCACCTGCAATGATACAGCAAAGATGGTAAAATTCGAAATGTGCAAAATACTGCAGATTTATACACGTATGAAGCAGGAGGGATTCGGTTCAATGTAAAGTTTTCCTCACACCGAAATCCGCGTTGCAGTTGTTTGCATGTCAGGAGTGTTTTGACTTTGAACAAAAAAGTCGGTTCTTCTACATTACCTAGGTGCCATTTGGCCAGCGATTAACAGTCACGTGACTCTGACAATTCCGGACGTGAGTGAAGAATTCATTTCTTCTTCATCTGTGCGACCCTTCCCTTTGGCATGAGTTTCCCAAGAGAAACCAGTAGATTAATATAACATAATGTCCTATCGAAGATTGAAGTAAAAAAATATTTGACGTTGAACCAAGTCCATTCTAAACATGTGAAGTTATATATATCTTGGTTACCACTGTCCGGTTAGACAGTTATCTCCAAGTTTATGGTTTCTGACATTGTCGTTGCCGGGCGCGCAACGAAAACACAATTCGTCTTACTGTCGTTCTGGTAGCCATCTTTGTGCACTTTGCATGACTTGAATATGGAGATTGACTTTTTGGAACTCACCTTCTGTAACAGCATTTTCCAAAGCATTCGCCATCATTCTTTGTCCCCATACTGAGACTTTCATGAATCATTTGATTGGCTAATTAGCATTAATTTTAGCCTATCCAATGCAACGCACTTACATCGGATCATCTCTGAACCGTATTTTCGCCACGTACTTCTCGTCGTTTTTCCTCGGGAATGAAGTGAAGAAAGACGAATGCAAAGATGACGACGGTGTGGTCAATGTGCGTGCGGATATTTGCTCGCTGAAAATATTTTTAATAACTTAAAATTTAGATTCTTGCCTACAGATCAATGAAAAACCCGTTTACCGATGATAATTCTAGCCATTGCATCGCGTCTACGGTGATGATATCACCGGCCAGGTCGCCTGCATTCGATATTGAAGGTGAGCTGCCACTGTCTGGCTGTACTTATGTAATTCCGTATTTCTCAGTTATCTGTTTCGTTTTCCGCTCACTGTTGTTGTACGCAATCCATTTTATCCCTGGAATCCTGACTTTGGGATTTCTAATGTTTTTAAGAATTAATTGTTCATGTTAATTATAATGGCAACATGATGCTGACAACAGCAACCGTGCAAAGTTTAAAAAATCCTTTACGGTGCTGTATGTTACGGGATTATATGAAAGGAACACATCGAAAGAGAAATTTTCTAATCCATGTGATAAACGTTGGCAATTGAATCGAACCAATGCACGATTTAAGACAGTAGGAAACTAATTTTGGAACAAAGTCAGATTTCAATGTCATGAAACAGTCTAAAACCATCGTGAAGTTTGTATCTGACTGTACCAATGTACACTATAATATTCACTTATTATATTATGTCTCTCCTAAAGTCAGACTGAGTGGTCATACGTCAGTATATATATATAATATACTCGATATGCGATGCCATTTCGTAAAGTACTTTTCGAATTTTCTACTGAACTCCCCCATAAATGATTCGACTTCCATTTTTAAATAAGAGTAACGGTTATTAACATTTGTCTAATCATGTGTCGGCAGTGTTAGGGAAGCCGTTACCTTAACAATGGCATTATTTGTTTGCTTACTGTTTTAAGTCATAAATCAAATATCAAAATCATATCAAGTATCAAAATTTGAATGTTATAATCAGTACTGGCGGAATCAGAAAGTTACAACGCAGTAGCTACCTCAGAATGTCAGCATTATCTTCTCTATATATTTGTCTATTAGTTGGTACTGAGACGCGCCCTTGAGCAACCCAACTCACTGCATAGGCAGTTAGATGCAAGGGAGCCAGTGTTCTTACGCCAAGTAAATCTAAAAGTTCAGATATGATAATAGCGGCCCCATAAAATATTTTATTATCTATACGAATTTACATATCCTACAGTATTAAATGGGTCATACTGCGTAGCTTGAAACGTTTTACTGTAGATTTATGCGTCGGAGTGTTAACACGCAAATTACTGGTCAAAATCACATAACGGCGTGCCTCAAGTTAGTTGATTAGTTCCCTCAGTCTTAGTTGCCTAGCAAACCCGTACTCGGCTCTATGAAATTCGAACACCTGCAATGTAAAATGACACTCGCATCGTCTTGTCCGCTAGACCAATCTCATGCTTACCACGAACGAGCCGGTCTTCTTTCTATGCTACCACATCAGCATTAAAAGATGGATTCGTGCTTTGGATTGGTTTGTTAAGACGCCGATATTTAATCCAAGACAAACTTTCACATCATGTTTCACTCGTTATTCGTGTACAAGGCGGTATACATGTGCTAGCTATTGAAACATCAGAGGAGTAATGTATTGCATCTAAAGAAATCATGTTTGCTAGCCAGACGTATCAGCTTATATTTTTTATGCTTACGTGGTAATATGACTGTTAATTCCCTTGAAGAAGAAATTGACCCCATTGTGTTTTGGTGCAACCGTCGAAAAACGGGCAGTTGGTCGCGTGTGAACAGTAGAGATAGCATAGTGTTTTGGTATAATTATGATCAGTAATGCGACAGATACGGTCATGCTGTTTCATGCGTGTGTCTTGCGGTTGTAATTCCACTTTGCCCTACCTGATAGCTGACTAAGAATGAGCACAAGGTAAGTACGTTAATTTAAAAGGCAGTGTCATATTATGAAGGATCGGTCATGGTGAACGTGACTTCGTAAGCAAATAAAATAATACGAGATGCATTTAGCATTGAAGGTGCTCAGATATCATGGATTTGTAGCATGTATGCGTAACTCCCTACGCATACAATAGAAAAATGCAATATACTTATTTCACGAGTTATTCGATTTGAAGTTTGATGCGGGTTTTTTACTGTTTGAGGATAACAGTTAAATTGTTTTTTAGATTACGACTGGAAGTCGGGCACGTATTCCACATGGGCTGAATCCGTCTGGTTGCGTCCAAGAATGAGAATTTTCCTAATGAGTAGCCCAAGTTGGCACAACACGGTTTTCGGCATTGGACTAAGCATATTTTTATTATCCATTTTTATTACGTATACCGTCAAAAATGGCGCAGACATCTTGTTTGCTTCCAACATTTCTGAGGTGTGATGGATGGAGTATTTACACCCAAATGTTGTTTGTTATATGACATTAAAAATGTCCTTTTCTATTCAATTTCCATGATATGTTATTGTTTTCCAGCTACTGAACGAATGATCTGCATTCATAGGATCAAAGAAACAAAAAAATGTTAAAAATTAAGCCCCACGATATATTTTCCAACAAATAGCTAATTTTCAATTTTTCAATACCGTCGCAAGAAGGCTAACTCACTTCTCCGGATTCACAGAGCATAGTTGCACTCACTCCTTGCCTCTACAAGAAAACAAAGCCCTCGTCGTAAACAAACCCATCATACCGAAAGACCTTTTTATTATATACTGATCGATGTAGATCTGTTTGTTTTCAAACATGTTTTTGTTCCATAAAATAAAATGGTGGTTTTGTGTCCGTGAAGCGATGGATGGCTCAAACAGCTCTCGAGGCTACTCGGAGCGTGATAATGCCGTAAGAGGACGGCTTGATTACGCCGTAAGAGTGCGGGAAAATGACAGGAGAAACAAAAAGCTGGTGGATGCGTTACTCGTTTTCTGCTGAACCTACCATTACCGACCTCGAAAATTGCCTAATAATGTTCAGGTCATGTTTTGCATGAAGCGTACTAATTTATGTTTGGTTAAATTACAGAAGATAAAAAATTTTGTGGCGATAGCGAGACAGCTGCCTTTATACCATGTTGAGGGTTGAGTCACACTTATGATGTGCCACCTGATGCCGAAGTGCATAGAAATAAAAATATTCAGACGGGTATGGGAACAAGAAGGAACGCCGAAACATTACGCCTATCGAAGGGGTCTTCCCTAATGCAACTGTAATAGAAAATTTAGTTATTAACGAAGTTTTTTGGTTTTTTTGACTATGTTAAATTGGCGCAATTTTACTAAATATAAATGTGCAATGGAAGGGCGAAAACAAATAAGAAAGAAGGTTCAAGACACTGAATCAGACAATGTTATCAATGGAATGCTCTAAGAATTTTTTAAGGCGATGTTTTCATCTGTGCTGATGTGGCGGCTGCTTAACCTTCGTGCACGGCTAACCTCGTCGAGATGCGGAAGAGTCGGCTTGAGCCAGCTACTGTTGCGCGTCAGCATTCTTGCGCCGCTTGCAGCGAAGGACGTGACCAACATGGAACGGCACACCATCAAGAAGGAACCATCTCACCTAATATCTGATTAGCCAGATAGTTAAAGACCAAGAAAAACTGTTCAAGACTCATCGGCCTTTTGAAAGAAAC